CGTCGTGTCTTTCCAGATGTACACGTCACCCGTCGTCGCCCCAGAAAACACCAGGTCCTCCGAGCGTCCGTAGCAGGCGGACATCATGGTCTCATGCTTGCCGAGATTTCCGAAAATGCCTCTTTTAAATGTTAAACCTCCTCCTGTATTGAAATATAAACACTGAGCAAATGCTTTTAATTTATCCAGAGGAGAAAGCATCGGATGCATTAGTAATTCAGTTACTGGAGCATCTGCTCACATTTAAAAGCTCTTGCTCACATTTAATTGGTAAAATATGGAGCGCTGATGGAAAAGTTGACAAAACAGTCATATCAGCTTATGACGGCTCAATATGATGTGGCAGATTCTCCTCACAGTCATGTTCTCGTGAGAGAGATAGGCGTGAGCTTATGCTTCAAATATTTCAGTAAAACGAACGTCTGCACATGTAACAAACATCCTAAGCTAAAAAGCAAGTGTTACTGCTGCGATTTAGGATGCATTCACATATGAATCTTCTATCTCTACCTGTATGCAGCCAGAACTTGATGTGTTTCATTCCCACCGTCAGCAGTTTGTCCATGCGGAACGGGTTTCCTTTCACCACAAAGATCTTATCTTTATGTCCTCTATGGTAAAGAGAGAGACAGACGTCATTTGAGAGCGATTCAGCTCGCTCTACATACTCTTTACCATTAAAAAGGTTTGGTTTTACCTGGATTTGGCCAGTTTTTCGCCTTTTTTCCAGTCCCAGATGACTAAGGAGTGGTCTTCATCGATTCCCACAGACACTAAACTCTTGCCATCCGCTGGATTTGAGAAAGTGAAATAAGAGAATATGACACAGCAATGTTTTAAAATATGTTTAAGCGATTGTACATTTGATAAAAATAAGATTCTGGAAACATTAATGGCAATGCATTTGGTTACTTTGCTTAAAAACAAGGCAATTTTGTCAGAATACTCAATGCTTCAATCCAATTATTAAAACATGAGTAAGCTCTGAAATAAGTTTATGGGGAAAAAAATGTAACATTAATTTTAACTCAAATCTCAACTTTCTCAGCTGATTTCCTTGTAAAATGCAGTGTTATTTCAATATCATTGAGATACTGTTACAGTTTTTATTAATATTTTAAATGTTTTTATTTTTCTATTTTCATTTGTTGCAATTTTATATTTATAAATATAATACAAATTTATATTTATAAATATGTCTATATAGTTTTTATTCATTTCTATTTAAGTTTTAGTTTTACTTATTTTAGAGCATCAAGTTAAACTAAATAAAAATTAGAAATGTTTCCATGACAATTAATTACAACAAAATAGTTTTTTTATATTTTATTGTATTTCTATACTATATATATATATATATATATAAAAATTACAATTAATTTTAATAATTATTCATTTCAAAAATTTCAAAAACTAAAAAAATGATAAAAGTAGGATTAAAATAAACATTAATGCAGGTGCATTTGATTACTTTGCTTGAAACCAGGGAATTTTGTCAGAATATTCAATGCAATGCAATGAAAAAAAAAAGTTAATGGGAAAATGACCATTTAACAATAATTTTAACCAAATCTCAAGTTTCTCAGCTGGTTTATATGTAAAATGTATGTCAGGGTCTAACCTGTGAACTCCAGAGCACAAACCCCGCGCTGATGTTGACCCTTCAGCAGAGATAAACACTTGAGTGTCTGGGTGTCCCACACATGGATGGCCGGATCTCGACCCACCTGACATACACACAAACATATGCATACTCTGCATTTATTTTATTATCATGCCTTGCAGAGACGGCTCAAATCTGACTGTTCGGCATATCTGATAGAAATCTGTTTAGGAATAAAAATGAAATGTGATCCGATCCGGTTTGAAGTATGATTCGTGGACAACAGTTTCAGCCGTGTTGTTTTGTAAATCTCTCACCTGTCCGGTGGCCACATAATCTTTGAGCGGATGCACAGCGAGGCTCAGGATATCGTCGTCATGACCGATGTAAAAGCGCTGCGTGTGCTGCTGTCTGTTATACACCACAGCCACAGCTGCCACATGATACACCACCTCACCAGCCTGAGTGTAGAACAGATTATTCCTGCAGTCGCAGCCCCTGTACCTGAGATAAACAGAATAAAAAAAAAGTCAAATATTTATACCTCTCTAAAAGTTAACACATTACACAAATAATGAAATATGTTTAACTTTGTACATTTTTGTTAATATTTATCCAATTTTACATTTTAATGGAATCATTCTGTAAATATAGACCAATTTCGGTGTTTGCAAACAGTGATGACTTTTTTTCTGGTGGCAGAAAATGACAGTTTTAAAGTAGCAGTCTGTGGAAGCCATGGAATAAAAGAGTAAAAAAGATCATTTTGAGTTTATATTTCAAAATTCTGACCTATTTCTCGCAATTCCGAGATTATATCTCACAATTCTGATAAGAAAAATCAACTCGTCATTCTCTCTTGACAAACTGACAAACTCACAATTGTTGAGTTAAATCAATTTATAAAGACCAAACTAGGAGATATAAACTTGCTTTTGTGAGAAAAAAAAGTCAGACTTGTGAGATAAAATATGAAAATGTTATAGGTTTAAATAGTTATAATTTTACAATTAATGGATTCATTCTGTAAATATAAAATCATTTAAA